GAAAAATAAAGGAGATGACAGATAGTCACAGATGGCACAGTAAAACCAGGAGCTGCCTGGATTCTAGAGTAAAATTAAGGTGATTCCAAATTGCTTCTGGAAAAGACATAAATTCCCGAGATATAAAAGGAAACATTTCAAACTGACTAGCAAAAATCATACCTTTTCAAAAATATGACAAATCGTATGCATTCATACACTCAATAAGCATAAAATTTCAGTGAAGCTGGGAGAACTCAAGAATCTCAATCTCTCTCCCTCCGCACTTTTCTAACTAAACTCCTGGCTAGCCTCTACACGGATCTTCAAACTATATCAGTAGTTTTCTCTGCCTAGCTATTCAGAGTATTAACATTCAGATTACAAGATGTACCTCTGAGTCAACCTGTGAAGTGGCTTTTGTCAGCAATTATTTTTGAATATTTTCTAGGACATAAATAGCATATACTGCAGCTTCCATATCACAGAAGGCATACATTAACTAAATAACAAGGTACCATCAAGGTACAATCTATCTTTTAAAATCAATTTTTTATACTGAATTTTTTATACCATGCTGACTTTACAAGGAAAACAAAGTACCAACTAACAGCATCAACCACTTTTTTAGAATTGCTTCTTGTAAGACATGAGGATATCTTCAAAATGAATACAATATATTATTATGAAACAGGATGTCCTTTGAAATGAAAATACTGTAGTAAAATTGCCGGTACGAGTTTTACAGGACTCACACTGAGAACACTTTGTTAAAATATGTGTGAGAAAACATCCAGGGAACACAAGGTATAACAGAAATGGGGCTTGCAGGGGACAAAGGGAAAAGACATTTTATCTAGTCAGCTCTCAGTTGGTGAAGGGCTGATGAGAATGGCAAACACATGTGTGTTTATGGGTTGAGAAGGTGACACAAGTGCACAAGAAGGTGCCAAGAGTACTCTTAAATCTGCGCAAAGACACCTGCAGTGCCTTCCTTTGGAAGCACTGCAGGACCTTACACACTGTTTGAAGGGTTGCGGGAACTGTATAAAGATGTCTTTGACATACCCAGAAAGCAGCAGTTACCACAGGGAAGCATGAAAAGGGTTGGTAGCCAGACGTATACAAAGTTGACAGGCATTCCCAATGAAAATGTGGAGTGAATTTCTCTATTTACAAATCCTCTTTCCCAAAGTGATTTTGCAAAACAAATAAATGCTTGCTGATTTTTTCTAATGATAGCAACAACAAATTTTTAATCATTGCTGAACTGAGTAAATCCCTAACATTTTTTTTAATTACCTATCTTTTAACAATTATCTCAAAATCCAAATATCCTTTTGTCTTCTAACTGCCATTAGATTATCAGTAAATTCTCCTTCTTTATCATACAGAAATCTTGCCACATTAACAATATTTTTTGTCAGACTGGAAATACTGACATCTATGATGAACATTGAAGATGATTTGGAAATTCTTGCCAGATCACAATGTAGTTAGAAATAAAGATTATTCATATAATGCAAATATTGTTAAGCCACATCTACTTAAAGTAGAATATTGTTCTTACTGTACCATACAGTTTTTAATTTCTTGAAAAAAAGCAGCAGTAGCTCACCATGAAAAATCCAAGAGAAGAGCCAAACACCAAACAGGACATTTGTAGGTACAGGCACCCAGCTACCTGGGGAATAAATTTCTGTATAAAGCTGTGTTCAAAAGTGGGAAATTTTACTGCAAGTTTTTCACTTGCAACATTTATCTATCCATTTTCTCCTCATACATTCTGCTAGAGGACCAGAAAAGAACTGCAGTGTATGTGCTCCTATGTTTCATAGCTTTACAACTACTTAGAACAGTGGCAATCATTGCACAGATGTATGCAATGGCAGGTTAACTTATGGTCACCATTCCAACATTTCATGGTGTTTTACATATTAATTGATTACTTCTGAAGGTGATTTTTTTTTTAATTTAAAGAGAAATGCCTAGTTATTTCTTCCTATGTTTTCTATACAGGTAACAGGAATTACTAAGACATATAATGATCTACTTGATTTTTGTTGCTATTGTTGTTAAATCTTTATAATGCACTGTGGTTTGTAGAAATTGGATATGAGAAGAAAATAATACAAAAATTAAGAAACACAGAATTAGGGCTTTTTGTTAATTTCTAAAGTGCTGAACGTGACCTATTTCTGAAACACAAATAAACAGTAATCTAATAAATGTGAAGACAGTCCCTCAAACTGTGAAGGGTACAAAGTGATGCAAACCCAATACAATCCCATCTCACTGAGGAACAGAATGCTTTGCTTCTGGAGCTCTAATTTTAAAAGGAAGGTTAATTAACCACTAGATGTAAAAAAAAAAAAATCCAAGCTGTTGGCATGACAATTACAGCAGTTACACAATTAGTACCTATTACAACATATGGTTATACCACTGCATAAAGACACACTGGTGTCCCATGGAACCTAAGACATGATGTCAAATATTTAGAACAGTTTTGATGCCCCTCACCATTGTGTTACTTGTTCCTAAATCAAATAATAAACATCAAAAGACACTACAACAACAGGATATTGCTTGCTGGGTATTGCCTCATAAGCGGCACAGCAGGATGTACCAGAGAGGAGAGATAACCTCAATGTCATTAACAGCTGTAACCTGGACAAGTGCACAAACAGGTCCTCTTGGCTCCAGTATCTCCTGCTCCCTTCCTCAAAACCCCAACGACCACAAAAAAACTACACATTGTTTCACTGCAGGAAAGGACATGGGACAGTGAGACAAACAGCAGTCCTGGCTTCTCAGCCTATCCCTAGCCATTCGCCTTTGAGTGAGAAAATACTCAAAGGTCAGGTGTATTCTCCACTGGCCATATACACTGCGTTTTCAGATTACATCATTTGTTCAGTTAAACTCATACAAATATACATAAAAACTGGTTGTACTTGGTTTTGAAAAGAACATGAAGGTAAATGCTTGGAATGAGTAATTCCTGTAATGTTCACTGCTCCCTTGATTTCTAGCCCTCCACTCATATAAGTAACACAATGTCAGAAGACTCCAAAAAGTGTTCCACCTCAAGTGTGAATCTCATCCCCTGCTCTCAGTGGTCTGTCCTTTTTCATCTCTATAATTCTAAGCAAAACCCAATGCTACTATTAACAAAACTAACAAGATGCAGAAATAAAAAATTAGTAAAAACAGAGTGACAGGAACAAAGAGAGAGTAATTCAAAAAGGTAGCAGTAAAACACAAAATATCAGTACAAAAATAATAATACATACATTGATAATCGAGTTTCTGATCCCTTTGCTGCACTATTTTCTCTCTGCTATTCTTTCTTGCAAACCAGAGCTGATGCCAAGTTTGGCATCAGCTGTATCAAGTACCAGAAAAACCAAAGGAAGAAAGAGAAAGCACAGCTGCAAGGAAAATGGAAGAGGAGAAGCAAATGGGCAGTAACTACAAGGAATAGGCTAAAACTTGGGATTTTACATTATCAAAACAATAGTAGGGCAAAAAAACATCAAAAGAAAAAAAAGAGCAGAACGCAACCACCCAGAAGAAGACAGCACTGGAGGGGAAGGAGACAGAAAGGGAAAAAAAATACATAGAGAGCTGAGCTACTTCAGTCTGTGAGGGCAGAAAGAGTAGGGAAGAAGAAACAAAAAAAAAAAATCACAAGCAAAATCCTACTAGAGCTGGAATATTTGCTACAAATTTTACAAGTAAGAAAAGAATTAAACGATAAATCAATAGTTGATAAGCAATGAAATAATAATAGATGAAATAAAACAAAGATAAAGACATCATACTTGTACAGTGATTTAGCATTGAAGCAATAGTTCCTGAAGCCCAGTCCAAAAATCAGCCACATTCAGCAATAGCAGCATGATAGAAAATGGAAATTCTGTGTCAGAAAGAAGGGCAAGGACTTCAGGCCCACAACAGCCCTCCACGACCCAGCTTGTTGTTGCTATAGACTGGGTAGTTAATAGACTGTCAGTAGGAGAAAAAAGCTGTGGAAACGTAGTAGCAACAAGTGTCCATCTATTTCCCCATCCTGAAAAAGTGAAGTATGAGGAAAAAGAGAAGCAATATGTATCTGCACGAACAGCTTTAAACACACTGAGAAGGGTTAGTCTCTGCTACAAATGTCTTTCAGCTGCAGAATTCCCTCATGGCAAGCAGGGTCTAGGTGATGGGCACAGGACCCCTGTCACCAATACACATGGCTGCTATGCCCATGGGCTAGATGAGTGGGGCCTCCCCATCCCAAAGCACTCCAGGGACCCCAGGTCACCAAAGGATTTTGAGTCACCCAGTGAAATTCCAGGCAGAGATACCATATAACCAAAGCTGGCTCTTGGGCTGCTTTATGCCACTAAGACATCAGCTTGGCACCAGGGTGGCCCAGAAATGACAGGTTTTTCCTTTTTTGAACTGACAGTTTTGATGTGCCTTGAAGAGATATGGTGGCACAATCTCACCCAAAATGTTTTTGTGTAAGCTGTACAAATCAGATTCTTGAGAATACACCTTGAAAAGTTCTCTTATCAGAGTCTTTGAAAAACCTAAATTCTCTTTTTTCCTTCCATAGATACAGAACTGCAAGCAACCATGGACTAAAGGCTGCACCTCTGCACCAGAGCTCACTGCTCTTAAACCCAACCCATAGGCAGTTTAACTTTGCTTTACACTAGAACAGTAGTTTCGTATACTGAAGGGAAAGGCAATGTTACACTTCAGAATGCAAAAACTCATCAGCTAAGAGATTTGCATGTTCAATTCAAAGCTGAATGTACTTAACATGTAATCATTGTCACTGGTATTCAGCACAAAGGAAAATGTTTTTTACTTGCTTTCTACCAAAATGGTCTAGGAAGTCCTCCTTCTGACACAGCTGGACAAACCCACACACCCTGGCCAAGCTTTCATACATGACCTCCATTATATGAAATTAATATAGTTTAAAAAAAGCTAAATGAGTTTTTCCCTGCTGCTCATACACACTTCCCTTAGAGCAGTGCAAATGTCAGATTGCTGACTGTTCCTGGTGAAGATCGAACTTCCTGTAAAAATGATGCCCTTAGTTTCCTGAAAGGAAGCAAAGCATAAGCTGCTCAAACAATTCACAAGACAGCTCTGATATCTGAGCCACGCAGTTACAAATCTAGAAAAATACAGTGTCACATCAGTGACCAACAGCTACAAGCACAAAAATTCAGAGACACAAACGCACTAATGCAAAGGAGAAAGTACCAAATTATCTGAAGAAACAGGTAAATTGTCTTAATGGGAAGAAATTACCTGTAAAACTTTTTTTCTTTCATCCCACAACTGAGCTAAAATTCTGACTCTCCACTCCATTCATGAAACAAGATATAAATCTCTATGAAAGTATTGTGCCCAAACGATTTCAATACAGTAGAGGCCAGTAGCATCTGCAAGTCCTTATAGCGCAGAACTGACTGAATAGCAGCAGAATACTGCTTTTTATCTCTAACATACAGAAAAAAGTATTCTTATTTCAACATGTTTAAAAGCTTTCAACATTACATATAGAATAATTTTTGTTCTGTATTAAAAATATAAAAAATATATCTTTCAACTTATATAACTAGGCAATTTGGCTCACTGAAGTTTATTTAGTTCATCTTTCACTTAAAAGTACTTCTAAGTAGCATTTAAATTTGTATGAGGCCCATGCTTTGAATCAGTGCTTCTTGCAACAATGATCTTCTTTCTGAAAACCTTTTGCTTCGTCTAATTTAGAAGACATACTTTCCTTTATTTGTAGAGAAAAATAAAATAGCTCTGTACACTAATCACAATTACTTTTTTTAAAATGGAGTGCAGATACATCAGTGAAATCTGTGCTATGTCAACGCTATTCGCAATACTAAAAAGTGCCCATTTTTACATATTAAAACATTTTGTTACAAAGTTTCACAAATAAACTGAAGGATTTCACAGAAAAGAAACAGCATTTTAAGTGAAAGCACTAGAATTTACAGGTTTTTTTTTTTTTTTGTCCTTTTACAATGCAAGAGCTTTAAAAAGTCACAGCTGAGACAGCAACCTCTTCTTTACCCAAAAAGATCCAAAGTACAGCGGCAACCCTTGTCTGACAGCAAAGACAGCAACCTACATCACACACAAACATTCTTCCTTCCCTGCTTACACAAGCCTTCAGCCCCACAAAAGCATTCATGCCATCCTCAGCAACAGCAGCTCGACCAGGCTGGTGACAGGTGAGCCAAGCCACTGCCTCCATCCCGCTGTGCTGTGCAGCTGTTTCGTGCTTGGGAAACACCTCAGCCTCGCTTCTTGCATTTCTTGGCACAGAACAGAAGAGCTCTTAGGAAACCATTCAAACAACCGCCAAAAGGACAAAACTACACTGTTTTTGACACATCCCTATCCACGCTACTAAAGATTCATGCCATCTGCCTTTTTATTTCTGGTGCTGCCATAGCCCTGCCCCTTGGAGTTAATTCCAGCACTCCTTTCTTTACTGTTCCTTCAGCATAACTAGTTGCATTTTACTGCACCATATCATTTTCCTAGGCTGCTGGAAGCAACCACTCACAATAGGAACATCTCCCTACCACCTTATATTTAACTAGTGTTATGTTATGCTCATTTAGACAAAATTCCTTTGTTCTGTACAGTGCGGTGCTGCCAAACCAAACTACTCAAAAATCATCAATATTTTATTTTTAAATATATCCTTTTTATTTCATTGGGATTCTCAATCCTGAGACTTTAACTTTCAGCTTTTGACAGTAGGTACAGACTAAGACCAGGTAAATTTTTTGTTTATATCCTGGTTTCAGTGTAAAATACGACAGTTAATTTCATGAAAATTTAAATCTCACATAATTGCATGACTCTAGAAGCTGAGATTTTCGAAGTGTGTTATAATATTTAACAGTTGGGGGTTTTTCCTGAATACACAGTACTTTTTCATAATGTTTAATTTACTGTTAATTCTCCAACAGTCAAAATACTCATTCTAATAAGAAGGTTCATTGCTACTTACAAAATAGCTTAAATGTTGACATTAGCACAGAGAAGCTGAAATGAACAGGTCTTTATACTGAAGCACTTTAAAAGCATTTCCAGTTAGCCTCTAAGCACAACCTGACTGTCATGCTTACATATCTGTAATTGTAATAGAGAAAGAGATGGGGAAACAGAAAAATGAATTGTTCAAACAGAAAACAAAAAGAAGGTAAGGGGAGACTAGAGAAAACTATGCAAACAGCAGAGAGAAAAATGGCATAGAGACTGTAACTATAACAGGGATGGATCAGTCTTTCCTCTCTTTTTTTTTACTTTATAAAGCAAATATGCAAAAGAGGATGCAGCACAGTTTATTAAGAATGAGAACAAACCTTCAGTGCTCCTTCAAGTTTGACTCCACTATGTCAGCCACTTCTCTTTCTACCATATCACCAATCCATATTCTTTACTTTCTTCCTAAATTACCAGAATTTCTAAAGGATGTTTTTTAATGATCAAAACTTTCAAACGCCATACCGTTACAGTCACTGTGAAATGGATCTCTAACTCTGAGTTTAAATTTTGAGAGCAAAGTGGATTATTCTACAAGAACCTTCCCTCTGCTAATCAAACAAGTCTTCTCTCCTTTTCATAGGGACCTGTTCCACAAATATCCAACCAAACATTGATAATGAGACCTAAACTTCTTCCCCTATTCCAGGTATCCCAGCAGAATCCCTGGTGTGGATGCAGATGCGATTTAAAAAAAAAAAAAAAAAGCTTTCGTCAGGTTGTTTGTGTTGTTTTGTGTTTGTGTTGTTCAAGGATGGAGCACAGAGCTAATGAGGTCTCTCTATTAGGCTGTTCTTCTCACAGATCTAGAGTAGCGGATGCTCTGTAATATACAAATGGTCAAAACCAAACAGTGATTTACTTAAAATTGGGATTGGGTTTATCAATTAAATTGTAGCGAAAAGATTCCTCAGGCATAGCACTGCCCTACAGACGGGTATCAGAAAATCCAGTGGACAGAGAAGTAGATGAAGTAACAGTCAAAGGAAAGGAACAAGAAGAGGAAGGGAGAAAAAAGATAACTTTTTTTAGAATTCCTCTTTTTAAAATTGTGTTGTGCACTGGGTTTTTTTCCTTTCCACGTCCTTTAAAAGTTAAACACTCTTGTTGTAAATATAAAACTCATACTAATTTCAAGTTTCCAAGTTGTGATCCAGCACAAAACAGTTTACAGAAAGGCTGTGATTGAAGGCTGCTACGAAACACATAGAGGATGTCTACAACTACTTCAGATGCATGAACATACAGTGCTAGATACTTTATGGAGTGATTGGTGTATAGTCTGCTAAAAGAGCTATTCCCACATAAAAATATTTCTCAACATTGATTTTACATTATAAATATGACAGTGACTATTATCACTAAAAAGTCAGCACACAGTAGCAATAATATATATTGAGATAGGGAAATACTTTATAAGGTCATAGTTACAAAGCAAAGAGCTGGGAAATACTATATTGTTTAATGAACTGCTGTAATTTCATAAAATTACATTTATGAAAACTACATGTGCATTACCCAAAGTTAGCTCCATATCCTGCCTCACCATCCATGTATTTTTTTACATCACCTCCATGAAAAACTCAGTTTGATCACTGAGACAAACCTTTCCAGGCCGGCTGATCCCAAATCTCACAAAAACCTATGTTTCCTTCATTCTCAAATGCAAGCAAGAGTTCACTAATCTCCCATATTTCTGAATTGTGCAGACCTAAAAGACGTTCACTCTGGTTTCACACTGCTCTTATGGCAAATTTTGGTCAGCATAAAAATCTTTCATTGCTTTGCTGTTAAAATGTGAACTTTATTTCAACTTCCAACTTCTAGAATGTTGTTAAAATATGCATCTGTCCTAATAAAGAAGGGAGACAGGAAAAGGTATATGCTTTCCAACTGGCTAAGAGGTTTTATTTTCGAAGAAAGACGTATTTCATAGCTACCAGACTCGAAGGCAGGCTTGATCCTGCTCTGCCACGGAACGGTCAAACAGCTTGTGCTGTCTCTCAGGGGCAAAAACTTGCCCTGAAGGTCAAACCTGACTCACAGGCCACATATTTTATAAGGTTGCCAAACAGTTTGCTCTGCTTGACTCATCTCAAAAGCAAACTTCATAACATTTTATGCAAACAACATACAATCTTAAGTCTGAGCTGTAAATCAATAAAACTCACTTAAACTGCACAGAATTTGAGGGAAGCAGGTTTAAAAGGAAAACTTAAGCCTCTAATTTTCATAGATCTAGACATAAAACTCATAATTTGAAAGCTCTTGTGTTAGAATGCTGTGTGCTTCCATTTCATGATCACAAATTTCAAGAGCAGTCTCCATACAAAAACATGTTTTTTCTCACATGCCGGAACACTAGATTTAAAAATAGTTAAGGCTCAGGTGGCAAATAATTCATCATTCTCTTAAATCAAGCCTCAATACTTCTGGAGGCCTACCTCATCAGCATAATGAGTTAACAAAACCAATATTAGAAATAGCCTGAGTGACCACAGCTGTTTGACATTTGAAGGTTTTTCAGAGAGATCCTTTGGGTTTGGATCATGAAGAATTTTTCATTTTTTTTTTAAAGGGAAAACAAAAAGTGACCACAACAACAACAACACGCAAATAGGTTATAGACTCCTGTTTTTCCTTGTCCTTTACAAAAATACCTTCAGGGAAAAGTACTTGTGGGTACTTTTGCATTGCAGACATTACCAGAATGCAGAACAAGTAAGTACTATTTAGCCCTTTTGTTCCTCTGGTTAGCTATTTAAAGAAGAAAAATGTTTAACCATAACTTAGTTAAGCCTCCTGCTGTGACCATGAGACCCTCTTCATCTTTCACTTTTTTTGCCAGCAAATACAAAATTCAAAATATTAAAAACTATTTTGGTTCTCTAAATTTTGAAGAATTAATTTAATTATTTTGATGTATTCACAATAAACAGCACTACTTCTCAGCTGCATAAGCTTACTTCAAGTGTTCCACACACATGACAGCAAATATATAATAAAATTGACAAAGAGAAGAACTAAGAGAATTTTAGCCATGGTTTAAGTTCGAGACAATTTTGCCAGAAAACAGGTTCCTAAAAGTACAATTTGCAGGACAATACTTACATGCACTTTGCAATTTGGTGTTTTCTTTGCTAAAAATGGCTAACTGAATACCATTAGTACTGAAAATAGCAGACTGAAACCACACTGACTCATTGGTTTTCTAGCACAGTATTTCACGTAGAATGCAGAGTTTTATTACTCTTCCTCTTTAAGGAACCTCTACAAATATTGAACATTTTCCCCTATACAAGGAAATAATCAGGAAAAGTTTATAAATATTCTTGCCCACCTAGGCATAGCAGCACATTAATTCTGAGACAGTACCAATACAACAGAGGAAAATATTCTGAAATTAAGATACAATTTACTTCAGGCTCAAACACAGTAAGCACAGTAATCTTCATGTTACTTAAAGAATTTCACCTTTATCTGGTACTGATGATTACTGCCATCCAAACTTCCCCAGCCTCAGACCATAAATTCAGATGACATTCTGAGAGTCAGAATAAGGTAAAATATAAAATGAAAGGCTCGAGGTAATTCTGTCTACTAGTGATATGCAGAATACATCCATCATTCTTATGGTCATCTGGTGCTGTTTAAAGTTCTCACTGAAGTTTGACTACTGTTCTGTAAATGGATCAACAACAGCAAGTTTATTTCTCCACATGGAGTCACCACAGAGTATACAAATTCCTCACCTATCACAGTCCATCATTAACTGCATTGCTTCAAAACATTCAACTTAGAGTCGAAGGGGAGAGGCGACACAGCAAACCTCTGCATCCCACAGCAGCTCTGTTTTCAAGTAAAGGACTACTAACTTCACCAACACTCGGGTTGTTCCACAGATGACTGCTGTAAACACCAAAGATCCAGTCTTAAACTCTGTAGACTCTAACTGTAACGATACAGCTATCCATGAAAATGCCTTTCTGCCCAGGAGAAGATTAAATGAAAATTAAATGAAAATGCTATGGTTGTGCAACAATGAGGTGTGAAATTCCCTGGATGTAAAATTGTCTCAGCTGAGAGATTTGATCCCAGAAATTCCTAGGGGAAATCAAAATGGCAAGAAGACAGATACACTTTCAGCAAGAAAAGGCAGGCCTAACTTTCTGCAGAAGTGCTCCAGGAAAGAATGCA